GGCTGGGGGGACGCTGGGGAAGCTGGGACTTAGAACTAATGAATGGGGTAATGATAGGGATAATTAAAGAGGGGATTAACGAGGTGTCATCCCCCCAGGCCTCCCGGCGGAAGCGAGACCGGCGGAAAGAGCGGCGGCGGCCGGGGGCGGAGCCTGAGCCCGAGGAGGTGGAGCTTAGCCGGCGCCTGCAGGAACTGGCAGCCGCCGGCAGTGAGGATGAGGAGGAGGAAGGTGAGTCCCGTGATGGGGGGGGGGGCGGTCCTTTATTACCCCCCACCCAGGAGTAGCGAGTCCGCCCGGGCTAGAGCGTCCCCACCAGGAAGTGCTGGGCTGGGTCCTCTCTAGGCTGTGGCTGATCTGCAGCTCTATGGTCCCTCCCTAACCCTGTCTCCCCCCTCCGTGTCTCCCCCACAGCACCAGCCCCAAGGAAAGGGGGGAGGAGAAGGAAGGTGAGCACATAGCAGGGGGAAGGGCCCCCAAAAATAAGAGGGGGGGGGAATTTGAGGGGAGGGACACCCCAAAATTGGGGAGCAATGGGAAAATGGGGGAGTGAGGGAAAGGAGCCAAGATTTGAGGGCGGGGGGTAAAACTGGGACCTGCTGAAATTTGACGGGAAGGAAGGAAATATTTTGGGGTCCCCAGTCCCCACCCCCCTGCATCCCCCTCCCAGGGTGGCAATGTCTTCGCGGCACTGAGCCAGGAACAGAGCGAGGAGGAAGAGGAGGAGGAGAGGAAGGGTGAAAGCTTGCGGCCCAGCAAAGGCAAAAGCAACAAGGTAGGGGTAAACCGGCTGCCTGTTTTCGCTGAGAGAGGGTGGGGGCACCCCAAAAACTGGGTCCTGTGTTGGGGGAGGGGCCCAGATGCCTGACTGTTCCGGGCAGGAGGAAGAGGAGAGTGATAAGAAGACGAAGAGTCGCAAGAACGAGAAGACTAAGGGGAAGCGGCAGGTAAAGGAACAGTTTGGGGGAGGGGGCAGCCTGGGGTGGGGGTCCCCACACTTTGAGGTCTTACCCCACTTTTCCCCCCCTCAGGAAAAAGCCCCCAGCGAGGATGAGGCTGAAGGCTCCGATGAGGATGCACAGCCCAAAAGCAGGAAGGTAAAGCGGGGGGCAGGCAGGGCAAACCCTCTTTAGTGGGGGATATCCCCCCCACTGCATCTGTGTGTCCCCCCAGCCACAGAACAAGTTCGCGGCTTTGCGTGATGATGATGAGGAGGAGGAAGAAGACGAGGCTGAAGAACCTGCGAAGGGCGACGAGCCTGTGAGTTCCTTTGGGATGAGAGGGAAGGTGGGGGGATGGGGGAGCCACCCAGATGCCTGAGGCTGACTGAGGGGCTCGGGGTGGGGGGGGGTGTCCCCTGTCACAGCACGAGGAGGAGGAGGAGGAGGAGGAGGCCGGGAGGAAGGCCGAGCCCGACGCCCGCGTCAGCAAGAAAGAGAAGAAGAAGATGAAGAAGCAGGTAAAGGTGGGGGGGGTGGAGCCTGGTCCTAAATGGGTGTGCCTTGTGAAGGGGGTGTGGCTTGTTATTTCCCCCCCCCCTTTCTCCCCCCCTTTCTCCCCCCTACCCCCAAGATGGAGTACGAGCGACAGGTTGCTACCATAAAGGCGGCGGCGGCAGCGGGCGAGAACGACTTCTCGGTGTCACAGGCCGAGCTCTCCTCGCGGCAGGCCATGCTGGAAAATGCTTCTGACATCAAGGTGACCCCCAAAAACCCCCCTGGGGACCCCCAAAACTCCCTGGGACCCCCCCAAATCACCCCAAAACCCCCCCAAAGTCCACCCAGGTGGTACCTACCTCTCCCCCTCCATCCTGGTGAGGTGGTATCTCCCGTGTGCCCCCCTGTATTACAGAGGTGGTATCTTCCATTCCCCAGTGGGCTGCCCCATTGTGGTGGGAAATGGGGGAACTGGATTATACCATTATACTGGGAAATGGGGAAACTGGGATAAACCACTGTACTGGGAAAGGGTGGGGGGAACTGGGCTATGCTATTACACAGGGAAATGGGGGTCTGGGCCATACCATTATACTGGGAAATAGGGAAACTGGGACAAGCCACTGTACTGGGAAGAGTGGGGGGAACTGGGCTATACTATGATGCAGCAAAATGGGGGGACTGGATCATACCATTATACTGAGGAAAGCAGGGGTGGGTCGGAGGGGCTGGGGGGGGTGAGGGGGCTGTCCCATTATCCCCGGGGGGGTTTCCTGACCCCCCCCCGACTCCCCATCGCAGCTGGAGAAGTTCAGCATCTCGGCCCACGGGAAGGAGCTCTATGTCAACGCCGACCTCTACATCGTGGCCGGGCGCCGCTATGGCCTCGTCGGACCCAACGGGTGGGTGCCCCTCACCCTTGGGTGGCGGGGGGGCTGTGGGGAGCGAGGGGGAATCATCACAACCCTCCCCCCCAGCAGTGTTTAACCCTTCCTTTCCTGGCAGGAAAGGGAAGACAACGTTGCTGAAGCACATCGCGAACCGGGCACTGAGCATCCCCCCCAACATTGATGTGCTGCTTTGTGAACAAGGTGCGCTCGGGGTTCTGAGGGGGGAGGTCTCCTAGATCCCTAGGTCCCCCAAAAACACCCAAGTTCCCCCCAGAACGCCTGAGACTCCCCCCAAAAACCCCTTCCCTGTCCCCCAGAGGTGGTGGCAGATGACACGCCGGCGGTGCAGGCAGTTCTGCGCGCCGACACCAAACGACTGCGGCTGCTGGAAGAGGAGAAACGACTACAGGCGATGCTGGAAGGGGGTGACGACGCGGCTGCCGAGCGCCTGGAGAAGGTACAGGGACACTTGGGGACATCGGGGAACCCCTGCGGACTCCCTAAATTTACACCCACCCACTCGTAGGTATACGAAGAGCTGCGGGTCATTGGGGCAGCCGCCGCAGAGGCCAAAGCGCGGCGTATCCTGGCTGGTCTTGGCTTCAATCCCGAAATGCAGAACAGAGCTACCAGGAAATTCTCCGGTGGGTGGCGGATGAGGGTGTCACTGGCCCGGTAAGTGGCAGGGGAGGGGATGTTGGGGGGGGTGACAGGCGTCACCGGGACCCACTGGTGACACCAGTGTCATCTCAGGGCCTTGTTTATGGAGCCGACGTTGTTGATGTTGGATGAACCCACCAACCACCTCGACCTCAACGCCGTCATCTGGCTCAACAAGTGGGGACGGGGGGACAAGGAGGCGGGGACAAGGGACAAGAAGGGGTTCCCAGGGG